TTTTCTTCCCCTCGGGTTCTCCTTTTTGGGGTGTTCACTTGATGATTGTGTGACAATCAAGGATCTTCAGTGCAGTCTCTTGATTAGGCTCGGACCCCTTCAAGGAAAGAGTCCCCCGTTTTCTTCCCCTCGGGTTCTCCTTTTTTTTGGGGTGTTCACTCGATGATGGTGAGACAATCAAGGATCTTCAGTGCAGTCTCTTGATTAGGCTCGGACCCCTTCAAGGAAAGAGTCCCCCCTTTTCTTCCCCTCGGAGTCTCCTTTTTGGGGTGTTCACTCGATGATTGTGTGACAATCAAGGATTTTTAGTGTGGTCTCTTACACACCCCACCTTGATCCGGCTCGGGCTCCTTCAAGAAAAGAGTCCCCCCTTTTCTTCCCCTCGGGTTCTCCTTTTTTTTTGGGGTGTTCACTCGATGATGGTGAGACGGTCAGGGATTTTTAGTGCGGTCTCTTACACACCCCACCTTGATTAGGCTCGGGCTCCTTCAAGAAAAGAGTCCCACTTTTCTTCCCCTCGGGTTCTCTTTTTTGGGGTGTTCACTCGATGATTGTGAGACAGTCAAGGATTTTTAGTGTGGTCTCTTACGCACCCCACCTTGATCCGGCTCAAGAAAAGAGTCCCCCCTTTTCTTCTCCTCGGGTTCTCCTTTTTGGGGTGTTCACTCGATGATTGTGAGACGGTCAAGGATCTTTAGTGAGATCTCTTACACACCCCACCTTGATCCGGCTCGGGCTCCTTCAAGAAAAGAGTTGCCCTTTTTCTTCCCCTCGGGTTCTCCTTTTTGGGGTGTTCACTCGATGATGGTGAGGCAGTCAAGGATTTTTAGTGTGGTCTCTTGCACACCCAACCTTGATCAGGCTCGGGCTCCTTCAAGGAAAGAGTCCCCCCTTTTCTTCCCCTTGGGTTGTCCTTTTTGGGGTGTTCACTCGATGATGGTGAGACAATCAAGGATCTTTAGTGCGGTCTCTTACACACCCAACCTTGATCCAGCTCGGAGCCCTTCAAGAAAAGAGTTCCCCCTTTTCTTCCCCTCGGGTTCTCCTTTTTGGGGTGTTCACTCGATGATGGTGAGACAGTCAAGGATTTTTAGCGCGGTCTCTTACACACCCCACCTTGATCTGGCTCAAGAAAAGAGTCCCCCCTTTTCTTCCCCTCGGGTTCTCCTTTTTGGGGTGTTCACTCGATGATCGTGAGACAATCAAGGATTTTTAGCGCGGTCTCTTACACACCCAACCTTGATCCGGCTCGGGCTCCTGCAAGAAAACAGTCCCCCCTTTTCTTCCCCTCGGGTTCTCTTTTTTGGGGTGTTCACTCGATGATGGTGAGACAGTCAAGGATTTTTAGTGTGGTCTCTTCCATATACCCCACCTTGATCCGGCTCGGGCTCCTTCAAGAAAATCCCCCCTTTTCTGCCCCTCGGGTTCTCCTTTTTGGGGTGTTCACTCGATGATTGTGTGACAATCAAGGATCTTTAGTGTGGACTCTTACACACCCCACCTTGATTAGGCTCGGGCTCCTTCAAGAAAAGAGTCCCCCCTTTCCTTCCCCTCGGGTTCTCCTTTTTGGGGTGTTTTGATCGTGAGACGGTCAGGGATTTTTAGTACAGTCTCTTACACACCCCACCTTGATTAGGCTCGGGCTCCTTCAAGAAAAGAGTCCCCCTTTTCTTCCCCTCGGGTTCTCCTTTTTTTTTTGGGGTGTTCACTCGATGATGGTGAGACAATCAAGGATTTTTAGTGCAGCTCTTCCACCGTGCCATCACAACTGTGTGTCCCACAGCTACCCCGGGCTGCTGATTGTTCCTCAGAGCATCCAGGACAACACCATCCAGCGCATCTCRCGCTGTTACCGCCAGTGCCGCTTCCCGGTGGTGTGCTGGCGCAACGCCCGCACCAAAGCCGTGCTGCTGCGCTCCGGGGGTCTCCATGGAAAGGGCGTCGTCGGCCTCTTCAAGTCCCAGAACGCCCCCACCCCAGGTGACAGCGCTGTCCCCACGTCCGGAGCGCGGGGATGGGGCTGGGGGACCGCCCCTGGCTGGGGGAGTGACGCTCACGGGGTCACCGGGCTCGGGGTGGTGACATTTGGGGGCTCTGGATCGGGGTGGTGACACCTGGGGACTCTGGATTGGTGTGGTGACATTTGGGGACTCTGGATCAGGGTGGTGACATTTGGGGGTCTCCTGGCTCGGGGTGGTGGCATTGAGGGGTCCCCTGGCTCGGCGTGGTGGCATTTGGGGACTCTGGATCGGGGTGGTGACACCTGGGTCCCCTGGCTCGGGGTGGTGACATCTGGGGACTCTGGATTGTGATGGTGACACCTGAGGACTCTGGATCGGGGTGGTGACACTTGGGGGCTCTGGCTCAGGGTGGTGACATCTGGGTCCCCTGGCTCGGGGTGGTGACATCTGCGGACTCTGGATCAGGGTGGTGACATTTGGGGGCTCTGGCTCGGGGTGGTGACATTTGGGGGCTCTGGCTTGGGGTGGTGACACCTGGGGACTCTGGATCGGGGTGGTGACAATTGGGGACTCTGGCTCTGGGTGGTGACATCTGGGTCCCCTGGCTCTGGGTGGTGACATTTGGGGAGTCTGGATCAGGGTGGTGACATTGAGGGGTCTGCTGGCTCGGGGTGGTGACACCTGGGGGCTCTGGATTGGGGTGGTGACATTGAGGGGTGTCCTGGCTCAGGGTGGTGACATTCAGGGTCTCCTGGCTCGGGGTGGTGGTATTGAGGGGTCTCCTGGCTCGGGGTGGTGGCATTGAGGGGTGCCCTAGCTCGGGGTGGTGACATTTGGGCGCTCTGGCTCGGGGTGGTGACATTTGGGTACTCTGGATCAGGGTGGTGACACCTGGGGGCTCTGGCTCAGGGTGGTGACATTTGGGGACTCTGGATCGTGATGGTGACACCTGGGGACTCTGGATCGGGGTGGTGACATTTGGGGGCTCTGGATCGGGGTCATGGCATTGAGGGGTCCCCTGGCTCAGGGTGGTGACACCTGGGGGCTCTGGCTTTGGGTGGTGGCATTGAGGGGTCCCCTGGCTCAGGGTGGTGACACTTGTGGGGTCTGGCTCAGGATGGTGGCATTGAGGGGTCTCCCGGCTCCAAGCTGTGACACTCAGAGGTTTCCCCAACTCTGGGTGGTGACACTGAGGTACTCTGTCACTCTGGGGTGGTGACACTCAGGGACATCCCTGCTTGGGCCCGTGACATTTGGGCATCTCCAGGAAGCAGGCGATGACAGTCAGGGGTCTCCAGCTCTGCGTGGTGACACTTGATGATCCCCTGGCTC